TTGTTCTATGTTTAGGGTTAAATAACTTTTTCGGAAAACATTGATTAAAAATTGTCAAAAAAGTGCTCATAAAAATTGACCATTGTTTATTTACATCCGCCACATCTATTGCATAGACTTCTAACCATTGTTGTTGATTTAGAATATCGAAAAACTCCCTTCGACTATGCTCACTGAAAAATCTCTTGAAGTAGCATTGCTTTGTCGGCTTTACGGGAATTTTACACTCTAATACTATTTTTTGTACAGTGTGATCCGAGATTGTATTTAGAATATGACTCGAGACCCTGCATTTCGGAACATTTGTAAATATATTGTCTATACAGCTATTAGATGTTGAATATATTCTTGTATTTTGAACTACAGATTAAAAGAGCCCATCACAGATAAAAATTGCGTCCTGTAATCATTACATTCCAAAAGTTCTATATTAAAATCACCAGCATGACAATATTTTTATTTTCATTCGCAATTAGGGTAAGTGCGAATTCTATTGTTTTAAGAAATATTTTTATGTCTCCTTTTGGTGGCCTGTATATTGTCATCACGATAAAAGACTCTTCTCGAAATTTACTTTCTATACATACACATTCAAAGACGCCCTCTACTGATAGCTTATTTATTTTTGTTCGCTGGGTAAATTTTTGGTTTTTATCTAGGGATATTGCAGCTTCTCCATATCCTTAATGTCATCCAGGTTAATATCCTTAATGTTCTCTTTAACTTATTTTGAATGTACAGGACCACGAAGTTGATGAACTAAGATGTTGAAAAATTTTAAATAAATGTGTCATTAAAATGTTGGCAGAAACTGAAAGAAATATTTAAAAAAGTGAATTTGTAGGCAACGCTTGGAATCGGCAGAAGGCCGTAGAATCAAACAAACTCGAGGACTTCTTGGACGAGGAAATCTTTGAAAATTCCGACTATTTCCTGCCTAGACGAGGCCAGAGTATGACGCTGGAGCTGGCTCTGTTTTTCGACGAAGCGGCCTTCAAGATATTCGCCCCATTCTTCAGCTACGACGACAAGAAGCTGCAGAACATGCTCTTGGCCTATATCAACGGGGTAACTTTTATAGGCAGTTTTTAAGCAAAAGAAGTATTTTTTGCCGATCAGGTGCAAGCACTGTACCATCATCCGAGCCTGGGAACCAGCCTCGAATTAGTACTGGTTCGGCTGGATATCATGAAGAAACAGCCCAGAGCGATGCCGCATTACAATGGCGAAAGGTCGCAACTGCTGGACAGTTTTTGCCAGTACCAAGCGGATATCAACCCGAAAGATGATAAAAATCCTGAGCATTGGGACATGGGGTTGTATGTTTCCGGGTAAGAACAGTGCGGTCCCAACGGGGATTGATAATGACTTTGGCCCAAATTCAGTTTAGACTTTTTTGCGTACGAAAATGGGAAAAAGAGCGGCGTCACTATGGGTCTAGCCACAGTGGGCGGAGTCTGTCTGGACAAGTACGCTTGCGTTATTGCGGAGTTTGGCACGACCAATGTGTTTGGCAAACCGTACCCCAGTGCCGGCTTCACCAGTGTCTACATTCTTGCGCATGAAATCGGCCACAAGTAAGAAACTCTTACCCCCGGTTGCACCGTTCTCGCTTTAAACACTGATTAGCTAAACACTGATTATATCTTAACCGGGGTTTTAAAAAAATGCATTGCACCTTCGCAAACTAATCGTCTGGTAGTTAATCAGAGAATCACTATGGCCCCTCCGCTTTTTTGGCTTAGGTTGCTCTTTCGCAGCAAAGCGGCCAGTAATATATTGGTTATGTTATATTTTATTGTGTACTCCTTGTCTTCATATATGTGTACTACTGACTTATAATATATAATATATATGTATAAGCCTTGTTCTATGCTACTGACTACTGTACTAGCATGTACTAGACGTCGACTAACAATTCAAATCAAAGCTCTTACAAGGTCTGAAATAGCTGAAAAATACAACCAACTGATTGATAAACGGCTACAACTAGCAGATTTGCAGAAAAAGAAATTGGAAGAAGAATTGTTAATGATTGAATGTGAAATAAAGCTGACTTACTTTTGACATTAAACTGGGTGTTTATATTAATTTTTATTGAAAAAACTTAAAAATTGACTCCGTACAAGCTCAAAGGCAACGT